AAACACTGGTCTGTTTCCAGTCCTGGGAGCTGAGAAGTCTCTTAACACCTGCATCTATTCTAAGGGGACTAAACCCAACTACCTAATAAAACCCATGAACCTTGCTCGGTTTTCCAAGCAGAAACTCAGTGAAGAGAAGTTCCATGTTGCCATACGTACCAGAGTAAAGACACAGAAAAAGTGTAATCTTTTAGGTAAGATTAGATTTAAGTGTCACATTTCTAACTTCAGTCATACTCCTGTAAATCCAGAGTAACTCTGTTCAAGAATATGGCCCAAATGTGGGGATTTGTTTGTTTATTTAGCACCATCAATTTGAAAGAACCAAAACTACCTTTGGTTGACCAGTAAGAGTTCAACAGAGATGACAACAGTGAAGTGAGAATCCTGTGTGTGCTTTCAAGTGTTAATTTCTCTGCAACTGGAAAAATTGCAAACCCCAGTTCAAACAAATTTTAACATGCCTTTTATAGATTTTTCATGCTCAGAAATGTGATTTTCCCCCTTTAAGTGCCTTAGGCGAAAACATCATATCACTTTCCTCTTCTTTGTGTTTAGCTCCTCCCCTTTCATTCTATTCTCTACAGAAAAGGAGTTTCCAACACTGTTAAAACACCTTTCATAACGTTTGTGAAATACTAGTAAAAACTACCTATCTAAGAGAGAGAAGAGCTGTGGCTTCCATTTTTTTCAAGTTCTAGAAGCTGTAATTTCTCACAAATAAACAAAAGAAGAAATACTTTAACAGAAACGTTGTTCTTTAAATTCAAATTTTTCAAAATATGTGGATGAATTTATCTAAAAAGCTTCTGGATTTTTACATGAAAAAATCCATTTTTAACCAGCTTTTAAATTTTTTTATACTTTAAGTAAACAAGTAACGTATTCCAAACCCTAACTCAATTTAATGTTTTTCATCTACCTTTTGCCCATTTGTTCTCAACCAGGTTCTAACACTATGTATTTACTCCACTCTTAGCCCTTTTTTGAAAGGATTTAATGCAGTTAGCCTTCTATCTTACCATATCAAACACAACTCACATTGCTAGCAAAGATAAACAGTTTAAAATAGTGGGGTACAACACTAGTGGAAATATGACATAATTTTCACTTCCTTTCACTTTGTTATTCATGCATGCTTTTGATGGATCAGATTCAGAGCTGGTGAAAATCGGTATAGTTGCATTGATTCCAATGAAGCTGTATGGTTTTATGCCATTGAATGATAATTTAAACCACCAAAATTAACAGAAAAAAGAAATTATAAAGCTGTTTCAGTGTACATGAGTGTCCCTATTGTCAGTAAGGATCAGAGCTATGAAAAGAAGGAACCGAAGTCACTTGCAGTTTAAATGTACACAAATCAATGAGGTATAAACATACAGATCTTTGTCAAAAGATCATATGCTTCTTTGTTCACCTGGAGGCATTTTCTTTTCTTATATTAAAAAAAAATGCATTGCCCAGAAGGATTAAACCAAAACAGTAAAAACAAATAAATGTCTCAAGATACTGCATCTTATACAAGATTTTGCTGAAGTTAATTTTGAGCCTACCAAGTTACACCTAACAACAGATACATGTGTGGTAGTTTTGTAATTTGGCCTACCTTTCCTTTCAGATCAGCACAGATTTCCTGTTGCTTTCGTCTATTATTAGCCAACATCATTTCTGCCTCATGAGCAGCACAGGCTTCAGCAATAGTCATTACGGCCTTCAGTAAAAAGGCTTCTCTAGCCTGAGCCCAGTTTAACATCAAAGCTCTATGTTGATTCCTAGTGAAATGATACTGGTCCAAAGCTTTTTCGTGAACAACCTAAAAAACAGATATAGTTCAGAAAGATTTAAAACCAGACATAAATGAAAGGAAAATCATTCTGGACATTATTGCGTAACTTGCAAGTCACCATTTACATTAACGGTATTCCTATGGAATCAATAATGCAGGTCCTGAGTCTTCTGTTGGGTGCAGAACACCTCCATTCCTTGCACTTGAATGGCACCTAGATTTCTCCTAGTCTCTCTCTGTAGCACATAACAGTTTCATCTCCCAAGGACTAAAATGCTTCATTCTAAACCAAGTTATATGGTTCAACATAGGGGTAATTGGGTAGTACTTAATGGTCTGTAATGTCCAATGGTCAGACTATGTAATCTAATGGCCCCTTCTAGGCTTAAACTGTACAGCTCTGAATGTTGGAAGTACTTTATATAAGATACTGAATAATTTGTAAAATCAGGCCCTTAATGGCAAATTCTGTTCTCTCATGGCTCCACTGAAGTCAATGATGCAGCACTGATGCAATACAGAATATGCCCAATTGTTTTTCCTAATGGAAAACAGAGGAATAAATTTGGATTCTCTGAATAAAAACTTAAAAAGAGATGGGAACCTAATATTGTCAAAGAAGCCACCAACTTTGCTATTCCTACTTCCTTTTGGCCACTTAATTCTCCCTTATCAATAAGGCTTGAGAGTTCAAGGGAGTAAGATCAGGGCCATATAGTACAAACAACCATGCTAAAATTAATAGGGATGCTTGTAAAAGAAGGTACAACTAGGGGTGAGGGAGGTTTGCAGAATGAGACCTTCATATTCTACGTTTTTTTGACAGGTACTTTATTTACTTGGATTTCAACTGACTCAGAGATATAGTAGGAAAGGGCCTATAGGACGACAGACTGAAGGATAAAGAGGTCTGGAAGGGCTGGCAGCTTCTAAAGGGCATAGTATTGGAAGCTCAACAAGAAGCTAATTTCAACATGATGGAAGCACAAGAAGAATGGCAAGAGACTGATGTGACTGCACAAGGAGGATTCTAGCATGCTTCAGAAGCAAAAGACAACATACAGGCAGTGGAAGGATGGGCAAGTCACTAAGGAATCATATCAAGAAATAGCAAGAACTTGAAGGGATAAAAATCAGGGAAGCAAAAGTTAAAAATGTTACATCTAGTGAAAGAAATTAAGGACAATAAGAAAGGATTCTATATATGTGTTGGTCAAAAAATAAAGACTACTGAAGCTGTAGGTCCACTACTAATTAGCTATTAACTAAAGGCATAAATGAAGTTGCTGTTCAAAAGCTGCTTTGCCTCAGTCTTCACAAAAACAATAAGCTACAAGTAGAGAGCTAATGAAAATTATATATACAAGGAAGGAGAAAAGCTGGGGGTTGTGAAAATGGAAGAGATTGTCAGACCACTTTTGATGAGTTTAAATAAGTCAGCAGGGCCTGACAAACTTCAGTCCCAGGTACTGAAAAAAAATGACAAAAAAGGATCTCAAAGATTATAGCAATAATATGTACTGGGCTGTGCAAAGCTTCAGTCGCCAATTCAATTTGGTGGAGATGTGGCCCGATTCGATGGCTGAATCTCTGAATCAAATCAGGAAACCCTTTAATCTCTCTGAATTGATTCAGAACCCTCCCAATCAATTCAGAGAGATTCGGAAAGATTCAGAGATTCGGACATAGCCACAGCTTTTAATGTTTTTTCTACATACCTCATGGTACCAGGCGACTCATCAATGCTGCAATGCTCAGGCAGATAGAGCATCCCACAGGAGTGTGGGGGGCTCCCCAGCACGCTCAGCAGCAGACCCAAAAGTGGACCAGAAGTACTTCCGGTCCACTTCTGAGTCCACCGGGGAGCGCTGGGGAGGCACCCCGTGACCTCCTGGCTTGGCAACTGATGCCTCCTCGCTTTAGGGGGTGGGGAACCTGGGGTTCCCTGCAGCTGACTCACAAGCTGAGGGGGGCACGGGGGAGCCCCCCTGTGTGCTTCCTGGTGGAACCAGAAGTGGACTGGAAGTACTTCTGTCCACTTCTGGGTTCACTGCCAAGCATGCAGGCCCCCTCTCCCACACGTTCCTGTGGGACACTCCATCCACCCTAGCATTGCGGCATTCATGAGCCGCACCTGGTACCTCAAGGTATGTAGCAAAAACATTTAAAGCTGTGTCTGTGGTTTAATCGCTGATTCTCTGAATTAGCATTGACTCTTCAGATTCAGATTCAGCCGAATCGAACCGGAGACAGTGATCTGAATCAACCAATCAAATCATTGTCCTTGATTCAGGCTGAATCCAAATCTGAATCAAATACAGACTGTTTTGCAGACCCCTAATATGTACAAAGTTGGGGTTGGGGCTTTTACAAAGGACTGGAAAAGTGCTGAAATAGTGCCCATCTTACCAAAACATAAAGGCAAAAAATAGGACCTGTACCATTATTGAGCCGGTTATCTATTCACTTTGTAGTAATTTTAAATGCATCAATGTCAGAAAGGCAAGAAGTTTTGACTGGAGTTCCACTGGGGTCTGTCTTGGGTCCAGTGCAAGTTAACCTGTTTAATAATGCTGTGGATGCCAGAACAGAAAGCAAATCTGCAGATGACATGAAATTGGGAAGGACTGAAGACACATTAGAAGAAAGGAGTAGAATTCAGAATGATTTTTATAAATCAGAAAGCTGGGCTAGAGAAAACAGACTGAAATGTATCACAGGCAAATGCAAGGTGCTATACCTGGGAAGAAGAATCAAAAACACAAAAAAAGAAAATAAACAGGAAGATAATTGGCTGGATGACAACCCAAGTGAGAAAGATCTTGGGGTTCTGGTATACCCCAGACTCAACATGAGTTAGCAATATGATGGAGTTGTAAAAAAAACAAAAGCAAATGCAATTCTGGGCTCCATCAACAGTAGTATTAGGTGCAAGCCACAGGTTTTGGGTGTCATCAACAGGAGGACTGGGTTTAAGACATGCCATCCATTCCAGCACAGACCGGGCTTAGAGTACTTTGTACAGTTTTGGGCTCTACATCTTAAGAAATGTGTGGGAAAAGCTAGAGAGGATCCAAAGGCAGACAAATATGATTCATAGATTCATAGATTAAGGGTCGGAAGGGACCTAGTAGATCTTCTAGCCCGACCCCCCGCCAGGGCGGGAGAACAACAAAAAACCCCAAAAAGAGAAACGGGACTCAAACGAGTCCAGCCAGGTAGGCATCCAGCCTCTTCTTAAAGACCCCCAGGGTAGGGGCCAGCACCACTTCCCTTGGAAGTTGGTTCCAGCTCCTAGCCGCCCTAAC